ACATATATATGTCTAAGCTGAAGTGGCAATGAGCTGGTCACATAGCTCGAAGAACCGACAACCGATGGTGAAGAAAGGTTCTCGTGTGTGTTGTCCACTTGATGGAGTGACGAACTCAAATGCATTGCTGGGAGTCAATGGATGCAGGTGACTCAGGATCGTTCCTTATGGCAGTCTTTGAGGAAGACCTATGTCCAGCAGTGGGCTAATGGATGAAATGATGATGATGATGATAATGATATTTTTTAATGAGAGACAATGGTTTGATGACCACAGCTGCGCTATTGGTATACACTGACAGGGCAGTAGTGAGAGATGATAAGTAAAGATAAAAGCAGGTCATTCATTCTATCGTGACAAATTCCACAAGAAATAACCACGATGGTTTCCAGGGAGTACTGAGTGGAAGTTGACCTGATAGCAATGATATTGCTGGCAATGGCCTTGTTAAACTAACGAGCGAGGAAGCCCTGATAAGAGTGAACGAGAAAAGAACATTAATTAAAAAATTGAGAATAGAAGACGCAAAATGCTGGGCCATTTTATACGACATGACGATTTTTTTAAGAGCATAGTAGAAGGAAAAATAGAGGGCAAAAGAGGAAGACCGAGAAATAACTACATGGAACAGATAAAGGAAACACTAGGTGTCATGTCGTATAGGGAGATAAAGGATATGGCCTGGGATAGAGCTGGCTGGAAGAAGATGCATGAATTAGTTGCACCGACAAGAGGGAACTCTTAAATGAAAAGAGGCCTTGTTAGACCTCATAACTGACAATCCCTTTCTCAGAGTAAGGGACTCTTATATTAACTCATGAAAACAAATTGAATTTTCTTCGCAAATAAAAAAATAATTATTACAGTCTACCAGAGGGAGACTTTGTACAAAAGTCGATTGCTTGGGTACCTCTGTCTCATTCGTGTTTCAACCGTGAAGCAGTTGTGTTTACATGGCTGTGTTTCGGCTTGAAGGGTGGGATATAGCAATGAATTTACAGGGTACAGAGGAATAACACCTGAGTCCTCAGGAATGGCAACGCATGGGGGGTATCATGGGCGAAATAGTATACTCTGTTATGTCCATGGTACTGCTCATGTCTATAGGCGACGGTTACCACTTTCCATCAGGTGGGCCGTCAGCTTGTTTCTCATTCTAAGTTGTATAAAAAAAAAAACAGTCGTAATCGAAGTAAATAAAGATCTCCTATATATATATATAGATATTATCTAGTTATAATTTTATTATAATATTTTATTTTGCGTAAACGAGCTTTCGCACTATTCAAACGAACGAAGTAAATTGAAAACAGAAAAAAAAAATGTTATTATTATTCGTGTAATTTATTACAGAAAACAAACAATTCATTTGGAAGTGTTTAATAAGAAATAAATTTGAACGTAAGAGAAATTAAATATTTACTAGTAGTTAGGGCCAAATTAATTAAAAACAGGCAATGTTGGCAAAACGCCGCGTCACGTGATTGACGTGAGCGGACGACGGACGACGGACTGTAGCGAGGGTGGGAGCGTTTGATTAATTCGTTTAATTAAAAGAGGGGTGGGGGGAGAGATTGCTGAATATATGTTCTCGTTTTTAGAATAAAAAATATTTTCATGGAAATTTCGTTAACGCCTCGATTACCCGTATAATTAACAATTAAATGGATACAACTATACTAGAATAGAGTTATTCGATGAGTAATGTATTTTTTTTAAACTTGTAAATGTTATTTTGTTGTATTTCAATTATATTTGTTACCCTTTTAAATTAATTAAAAGAATAATTTATTTTTTGTGCACATATGCTAGCAAGAAAAGTCTAATGAATTAAATCAATATCATCACCATGTAATTCATAATTAAGAAATTTTATATTTATATACAATAAGATATGTTACGAAGATTATTGTCTTTCTTATACAACTTAGTATAGCAAACAAGCTGACGGCTCAACTGATGGAAAGTGGTAACCGTCGCCTATAGACATGAGCAGTACCATGGACATAACAGAATATATTGTCTCGCCCATGATACCCCCCATGCGTTGCCATTCCTGAGGACTCAGGTGTTATTCCTTTGTACCCTGTAAATTCATTGCTATATCCCACCCTTCAAACTGAAACACAGTCATGCAAACACAACTGCTTCACGGTAGAAACACGAATGGGAATGACTGTCTGAATTTATTATTTAGCTACATATGAAATGACAAGGCAATTTACCAGTTAAAAATATAATGTTCAAATAAAAGGGACCTAGATAGTACCCTTGAGAAACACCCGTTCTTACAAGACAACTGGAGATAAAACTATTTCCAACAACTTATTCAATTGACTGTCAAATTTAAACAAACGTCATCCATCTGCATTTTAATTATATTAAAATTTCGAAATTTATATTAATTATCTACTTAATCAAAGGCTTTGGATAAAATATTTTTGCTGGTTTTAATATGCGTGAAACTTTGCACCTGCAGCTATGTTACACCGAAAATTCTAATTGATTATAAAATTTGGTTCTAATAAAGTTAATGTTATATTAAAGTGACCTTAGAATTTACAGGATTTATATCAAATAAATGAAATATAATTACATTATTTTTTTTTAATCCTTTTTACATAAATTAAGATTATGTTCCACCGAAAAAAAAAACTAACTTCAAGCATAGAAAAATCTATTATTTCGATTTAAAAACTATACTTCTGAATCGATTATGATAAATTTTCTATAGGTCTAATCTAAAAATATATTCTTTTCGATAAAATATAATTTTCCAAATCATTACATAGTATAAAATAAAGTCGCTATCTAAATTTGAAGCGGTTTTTTTAAATAGATAGAGTGATTCAAGAGGAAGGTTTATATGTATAATACATGCATAATATTGTAGAGAAACACTGATACTTTTAGAAGTTTCTAATGTTATGTGATGTAATGTGTACCCGCGCGAAGCCGGGGCGGGTCGCTAGTCGCTTTATAATTGAGGAAATTATAAGGTAATAAATATACAAAAATACCACCGATTTGAAAACTTTCTCCTTTTTTGGAGTCGGTTGATTAATTTAGCACAGCACAGAAAAGAGAAAAGGTTAAGCTCAGCATTATTCAGCATACACTTCCTAATCTCTGAGTATTTAACTAACTTATAAAGGATACCGGTAGAGCTTAGCGTTGTTTCTAACCACATGTTTAAATGGTATATCTATTTTGTAATAAAACTGTGGACATACAGGAGACAGTATATTCTTCTGCAGATATTCCGTTACGTTAAGAAATTCCCCTGTTTTATCATTAATTTATTTATGGACAGCTAACAAAACATACGCTTATGTATACTTAGGATACAAGATTAAAAAAAAAAAGGTTTCGATTCGTTTCTGCTTTTATATGTTTATTACCTCATAATTTACTCAATTATAAACCAATTTGTAATTTTTTTTTACTTGAAAGCATATACCTACTTACAGACTGGTTCTATAGAAATTTTATCAGTATCGTGGTTGTCGTCAAGAGCGACTAGGGTAACTTTATTATTGAGGGATGTGGGTTACCAACTCACCTGCCAAGCTTGGCAACGACTATCAAAGCCATCTTTAAGACAAAGGAAGACTTTGTACAAAAGTCGATTGCTTGGGTACCTCTGTCCCATTCGTGTTTCAACCGTCACTGTGTTTCGATTTGAAGGGTGGGATATGGCGTGAATTTACAGGGTACAAAGGAATAACACCTGAGTCCTCAGGAATGGCAACGCATGGGAGGTATCACGGGCGAAACAGTATACTCTGTTATGTCCATGGTACTACTCATGTCTATAGGCGACGGTTACCACTTTCCATCAGGTGGGCCGTCAGCTTATTTGCCATTCTAAGTTGTATAAAAACATCTAATAGCGGGGAGGCTTATCTAATGAATCCCATATGTAATGATATATTCCATGATGTTATTAAACCACTAGTCAAAATTTGAAATTAATTAACGCGAATTACACTAGAAGTGAGGATCGCAGAAAATAACAACGTCAAATAGAATTTAATAATTAACAAGTCATCTGGTGAACCAATCTCTGACCGATCTAAAGTTCGCTAAAATGAAATCACGGGCAACTGTCCGCCGGCTGTTTTGGCGTGTCATATAATTTCCTACAGGAAATAAAATTTTGCAGGAAGTTAGAAATGTCACATCATCGACAGAGCTGACGATCAGCCTTAACAATATTTTAATATTTAATTATCTTTGTACTGTAAATTGTAACAGTTTATAATTATGTTATACAATAAACAAATTACTTTTATTCTGGCAAAACCAGTTATGAATGGATGAATGAAAAACTCTTTATTGTTCCCTTCAAAAATGGATACAGATTGTAATGAAATGTTGAATGCGGTCTAATAGAAGGAGCTGGTACTGTGGCGCTCCTGCCCATAGGTAAGAACAATATTTCATATGTGCCTTAATAGTACATTACCGCAGCGGCCAGCAACTGAGGCATCAATGCCTAGTTGTGGCCAAGGCTTGTATAGTACTTTTCTCAAACAATTCGCGGTAATCAAAAACATAATTTTACTTTTTAAGTTCAATGACGAATAAAGAACAATAACAATTTTTCACGCGCCATAATGTTTCTTTGTTTGTATGGCTATGTTTTTTTTTTGTCAATAAGGCAAAGCTTTCTATTTGTACTTTTCTCAAACAAGCCGGAATACTTTTTAAGTTCAATGACGAATAACGAACAATAATAATTTTTTCGAAGCCAGTTCGAAATTTAAATACAACATTTTATTAGCCTCCTTGGTAGCCATGTTTTGAAGTAAAAGGTCATTCCATTTTTAAATTACAGGACAGATATGAGTTTACATAGTAATTTATCTGTCCGCAAAACATGACAGATATGGATTTTCATACAACTTTTGCCGGCCGCTGCCCGCATGTATCTGGCCAGTACGGCAATTTTGATTTATCTCGAAGAAGATTGTCAAAATAATGCTCACATTTCCAAGCATGTTTGAGAAAATAATATAATGTTACCATAATGATAGAAATATTCGAGAACATTGCACAATTATTTTAAAATGTAAATTTATGCCACATATTAGCTATAATAATTATTGCTGTACTACCAATGCACATTTTAAGTGTTGCCATGTCAACTTTAACCCAGTTCCTACCTCACTCGACCCAGTGTACAAATTAATGGTAAAAATATTTCACAAACATTTTATACCTTGTTGCAATAAATTTATTCATTACCTTCTTATTATTTCCATTTCCGTGGGAATTTCCAAAAGTCCTTTAATGAATGTTTACATCACGTAGGGCAATTTTTTTTTTCATTTTGGCAAATTTGGTGATTTTTATGATATTTTTATATAAATTTGGTTAAGTCATTATTAATATTAATTAATTATTTTCGTATTTATAGCACCTATAGTACTTCAATTAAAATGATAACAATAGTTTAATTCAAGCAACAGGAACATATGTATATCAGAATGCACGTGCTCTTATTAATATCATCAGAATAATATTTATTTTAATGATATATATATATATATATATATATATATATATATATATATATATATATATATATATATATATATATATATATATATATAAAAGATATGAAAATTGTGGTGTATATAAATAAGAGAAGGATAGCGGGTTCGGTAAGAAGTTGAAAAGTAATATAATGACTTGGTATGATTATGTCATGTGCAGAAATAAAAGACATGTTTTAAAGAAAATGTTAAGTATGAAAGTTGATGAATATAAAGCTAAGGAACGACCGAAAGAAAAGGTGGATGGACTGTGTGAAAGATGATATGCATAAAAGAGGTGTGAACCCTGAAATGACAGTTGATAGAGATTACTGGAAGAAGAAGACATACTGTGCCGACCCCAAATAAAAGGGAAAAGCCTAGGCAATGATGGTGATAGCATGAATAATTCTTTTTAAAGTGTCGACAAAGACACCAATTGTCTGGGTATCGAGCTAGGATACACTGTATTACAACCAGGTAATAAATATCTGAGTACAAAACCCAGAACTGATGAATGACGAAATGTTTTATGAACGCATTAAAGTATTTAAATTTAGAATATAAAATATATTTTAAATCAATATTGAAAATACCCAACCCAAAACAAACAGTCGAACTCATGGATCAAACTCGAAATTATTTCAAATGAGAGCTGTGTTAATTCGCTAGATCAGTGAAGTCTTCAAAAGAATAATATGAGACCAATACATATCCAAAAAATTCTACAATTAGCGATGATCCTTTAACATGTGTACAAAAAAAATATAAACCCCAAAATCTTCCTTTTGGGAGTCAGTTAAAAAATGTAAATTATTATAAAGAGACCAAAAACAGAAGGTGCCTCTCAATAAATTTAGCATAATTTGTTCAAATTGACATAATAACGGTTTCTATTAGGTTTACGCGTTGCAAATTTACGATATCGTATAGGTGTACAATAAAAGCAAAAAGTACACGAATTTTTCGCATACAGTATGTTTTATGGTCCATTAAAAATCGCTATCCGGCCCGAAATGTTTTATTTTCACAACAAGCGGCATTTTATTGCTTACGTAGACGAGAGTAAATTCTGCGTCGGAATGAGGGTCGGACGATTCAGACATGTAGAAAATTAAGCTGGATCTAGATCGCAGGTGAATGGAATATATACGTTTTATTAATAATGTATTGTTATTATTTATATCTACTTACCGTCTGATCCTAATATAAAATTTACTACTTCTTTTTCATCACCAAAGCCTAAGTACAGTTGGCAGTCCGCCTACTAAACGTGACAACTACTGGCAAAACCCCCCTTATGGAGGAGGTCTATGGTCAACAGTGGACAGTTAACGACTGGTATGACGATAATAATAAAATCGACTTTAATCGCGTTTTCAAATTCAGGAATACCAGACTAGTTTTGAAATCAGTAGGAGCCCTTATTCCTGAGCTCGGTTTGCAGCTATGCCAAGAGGAGCACAACGGCCAGCGTGCTGTTTTAAAATGCAATTTCAAAATGCGAGTAAAGTTGATATAAAAAAGTATATAATACACAATACAGTATTTTTTTTTTACAGTATTTCACACATACACGCATGCACACGCGCACATTCATAATACTTATTCATACATGTGTATTGGTGGTGAGATCTAAATGAAATAATTGCATTATACAGATTAGTTACATAATTGTCAGTACTGCTAAAAAGCCTATGTTTAATATCTATATGCATGTATTTGATAACACGAGTTCTGTTTCCTACAGGACAGGCTCAGCCTAGTGTAGGAAGCAATGATAAATTCTGTGCTTATTCAAACATACTTTGTTAAATAAATATATCTTTATCTTATCTTTATTTCATGTTAGTTTTTATTAATATTATTACAATGGCAAACAAGTTTACAGCCCAACTAATATAAAGTGGTAACCATCACCTATAGACATGAACAGCACCACTTTAAAGTATAAACTGTGACATCGTGATGTCCTTCGTAGGTTGCGTTGTTATTCCTGAGGACTAGGGTATTAGGTCTCCATACCCTGTAATTTAATAATGGCTTCAGATCGACCGAACACCACTTTTGACAACTGTGGTAGTATAGAGGTTAAACATATCTTCCGATAGTCATAAATTCGATCCCCACACAAAAGTAATTCATCTATTAATAATAAACGAAAATTATTTGGAATAAGAATTCCTTGTTCTAATTTCGAGTAATTTTCATTTGTGTTAATAAATAAATTTTGCATCACAACTAACAGAATTTTACTTTTACAAAAAAACATTAGCTCCATAAAATTAATATGCAACTAATATGGGAATAAACACTGTCGATTGCAAAAAACAATATTTGATAAAACAAATAATACTACAAATTAATTTTCTTCTTTTGGCAGTCGCCTAAAAAGTATATATTACACGTTTAGATTATATAGATAGAGTGTCTCCATAGAAATGCTTTGAGAAAAACGGGTCAATATTTTCATACAATTTTGCGTGATAAATAGTTATGAATGATTCCTTTTATATCTTTTATTAAACGGTTTTATTTAGCTCGACCTGTACGGTATTTATTTATTTGGGTCAAAATTAGAAATTGGAATTTAAGCACCTTCCCGTTGTCAGATTGATCTGAAATTTGGTACACACATTTAATTTAGATGACAATACAATATAATAAAATCAATAACATTATAAATCTAAGATGGCCGCCGATACAAAATGGCGGATTACATATTTTTCCTTAACCCCCGCAATATGGGTATCAAATGAAAGGGCTACACTAGTAAAACACGATGATTATGTCAAAATTTAAAATTCAAGATGGACGCCGTTCCAATATGGCGGATTAGGTACATATTTTTCCACAACCACCACAATATGGGTATCAAATAATAGGACTACACTGAGACACCCAGACACTAGACACTCGGACACTAGACACTCAGACGCTAGACCCTCAGACACTAGACACTCAGACACTCAGACCCTAGACACACAGACACTAGACACTCGGATACAAGACACTCAGACACTAGACACTCGGACACTAGACACTCAGACACTAGACACTCGACACTCGACACTCGACACTCAGACACTAAACACCAGACACAAGACACTCAGACACTCGACACTCAGACACTAGACACTAGACACTCGTCACTAGACACTCGACACTCGACACTCGACACTCGACACTCGACACTCGACACTCGACACTCGACACTCAGACACTAAACACTAGACACTAGACACTCAGACACTCGACACTCAGACACTAGACACTCGACACTCGACACTCGACACTCAGATACTAAACACTAGACACTAGACACTCAGACATCCAGACACTAGACACTCAGACACTGGACACTCGGATACAAGACACTCAGACACTAGACTCTCAGACACTTGACACTCAGACACCCAGACACTAGACACTCTGACACTCGACACACAGACACTAAACACCAGACACTAGACACTCAGACACTCGACACTCGACGTCACTCGACACTCGACACTCGACACTCGACACTCGACACTCGACACCCGACACTCGACACTTGACACTCGACACTCAGACACTAAACACTAGACACTAGACACTCAGACACTCGACACTCAGACACTAAACACTAGACACTAGACACTAGACACTAGACACTCAGACAATCGACACTCAGACACTAGACACTCGACACTCGACACTCGACACTCAGATACTAAACACTAGACACTAGACACTCAGACACTGGACACTCGGATACAAGACACTCAGACACTAGACTCTCAGACACTTGACACTCAGACACCCAGACACTAGACACTCTGACACTCGACACTCGACACTCAAACACTAAACACCAGACACTAGACACTCAGACACTCGACACTCGACGTCACTCGACACTCGACACTCGACACTCGACACTCGACACTCGACACTCGACACTCGACACTCGACACTCGACACTCGACACTCGACACTCGACACCCGACACTCGACACTCGACACTCGACACTAAACACTAGACACTAGACACTAGACACTCAGACACTCGACACTCAGACACTAGACACTCGACACTCGACACTCGACACTCGACACTCGACACTCAAATACTAAACACTAGACACTAGACACTCCGACACTCGGATATAAGACACTCAGACACTAGACTCTCAGACACTTGACACTCAGACACCCAGACACTAGACACTCAGACACTAGACACTCAGACACTAGACACTCGAAACTCGACACTCGACACTCGACACTCGACACTTAGACACAAGACACTCAGACACTCGACACTCAGACACTAGACACTAGACACTCGTCGCTAGACACTCGACACTCGACACTCGACACTCGACACTCGACACTCGACACTCGACACTCGACACTCGACACTCGACACTCGACACTCGACACTCGACACTCAGACACTAAACACTAGACACTAGACACTCAGAC